ACGTCAAATCCAACAGTCGATCTGTGTTGTGGTCATTTAATCAATACGCGTGGCTTAGGTTGTGATTAGAATGATAATTAATTAATATTCCCTGTGACTGAAATGATCTGAAAACCAGATGAGCTATATTCCGGCAATATGGCGACAGTTGACACCCGATATGTCCTGTCACGCATTACACACATGTGGGGAATCGAACCCGGAGAGTTCGACAGCGACTGAGGAGTAAAGCTGACCACTTGATTGACCCCACCAGCATAACGCACAGTTTTCTGAATGTGGTAGGAAAAGATGAGCTCTACGTACATCAAGTCGTTATATTGCGCGACAATATTATTTAATATAGTTCATTGAGAGGATGGGAGTGATTGAGGTAGCTGTCAAAACAGACCAAAGCATTAAAGTATGATTTCGATTCGACGTTTTAAATCGGTTTTAGTTTATATATATTTTCACCTGCATTATCTAAATTATCAAAACCTTACCCCTGTCATGTTTTTGTTAACATCAATAACAATATGGACCTTTATTAAAATGATTGATCCATAAACAAATCTTGCCTAAGCAAGATGAATGCATTCTTGTGTTTGTCTAGATAGCTTCTTTACACAATGTTAAATTACATATGTACCTTCCACCCATCCTCACCCCCATCCGGTCCGCTTCCGTGGTGTAGTGGTTAGAGCGTCCGCCCGGAGAGCGGAAGGTCGCGGCTTCGATCCCCGGCCGCGTCATACCAAAAGATGTTAAAATATGGTACTTGTGGGTCCCTGCCTGGTGCTCGGCATTAATGGGTACAACAAGGACTGGTCGGCTCGGAGTAGGTATCATGTGTCTGAGTGGGGTATTCATGCTTCACTGCGGCATGGTATCTCAGTGGGCTAGCACTATAAAACCAGCTTCAGTCTGGGCTAGTACAAGCAGCCACACATACACACGCATGCACGTCGCCATATGAGCGAAATATTCTTAAGTACGACGTTAAACTCCTTTTCACCTCACCTCACCTCACATCACCCCCACTTCACACGACCAAACGAAAAACAAAAGATGACAATACATATTACTGAAAAAGGAAGTATCATAATTAATTTGCCACTTTCATTTTCGTGGGCTATTGTCAATTTTTGCGTTTTTCTTCCATGGCAAAAATATTAGTTGTTTTATCCACAGACAGTAATCAGTTTCATTATTGTTTTATTAAACTGGAATTAAATGGGCAACTTTACTGGAAATATACTAACATGTTTGCCTTTAAATGCACATGTTTATACCTGTATGCAAATACAATTTTAAGCTCGATTTATGAAAAACAGCATGAAAGAAAAAGTTGCTTTTCATGGAATGACTATATATTTGGTGGTGTGATCGCGAAATATTTAAGGTAAGACTAGGATGTGCGTTATAGCGACCATAATAAAACAAATTTTTTCAAATCTTTTTATCACATGAACGATGTATACACTGAACGATACTTTTATTGAAGTAATTCGTATTTTCGTAATTTTCTCTTTCAATCTACATGTACTGACCAGCAAAAGAAACGCAATTCAAGAAATCAAAACGATTGTGTTAAAGTATCAAATCCGAACTCATGCTAAAAAAGTATCATTTTCATGAATTCTGAGTTGCGTTTTTATTGCTGGTCAGTTTTTTTATTAGATTCATCCAGATATAAGTTATATCTACAATTGTACTGTAAAAACAAACACATTACCTTCTATCACATGCGCAAGATCGTTTCTTGTGTTGAAAATATCCTACTCTATGTTTCTTATGCTTTCGAATTTTATTTTTTGTCAATTTACTTCACTTTGAAGTTTTTAAAAGATTTAGCCTCCCCCTTTAACATCACAACCTGACGTTTTAACAAGCGGTCGGCGCGAACAAATAATGATAATGATTCGGGTTATAAGCGGACTTCAGTAACCCATGCTTGTGGTAAGAGCCGACTAACGGGATCGGGTGGTCAGACTCGCTGACTTGGTTGACACATGTCATCGGTTCCCAATTGCGTAGAACGATGCTCATGCTGTTGATCACAGGAGTGTCTAGTCCAGACTTGATTATTTATTGCTAGAATATTGCTGAGTGTGGCGTTAAACAACAAACAAACAAAACAAACAGCACAACAAACGATGATTGTATCAGGTGATGCCGCCCAAGTTACGAGATAGAATGTAGGTGTGTTAAATAGATATGGAAAAAACCCAGGCTACGATATTGATTGAATCTACGTGAACTTATTCCTGGATGATGATGGTACATCATCTTGTTCATTACTTGGGATGTCTGGGGCAGGGGGGTAGCCTAGTGGTTAAAGCGTCCGCTTTTCGATTCCCCACATGGATACAATGTGTGAAGCCATCATAAAATCATACTCATTTACTCACTTAGGATTTCTATGATGTCCGATATTTAGCAATGTCCTTTTGATGATTGTTTGGGCTGATGGGTCATCTTTCAGTTTTTTGTCCTTTGTCAGTTATCTGGAAGTTGTTTTGTTACTAATGAGTGAGTTACAACTGAGAATAATATCGTCAACAAAATCAGCTGCATGATCTCTCTATGCTTGTGGACCCGTGAAGGTCCGGGTTAGAATATTGATCTTCTGTAACCCATGCTTGTCGTAAGAGGCGACTGACGGGATCGGGTGTTCAGGCTCGCTGACTTGGTTGACACATGTCATCGGTTCCCACTGTTAATCACTGGATTGTCTGGTCCAGACACGATTATTTACAGACTACCGCCATATAGCTGGAATATTGCTGACTGCGGCGTAAAACTAAACTCACTCACTCACTCTATGCTTGTCAGTACAGGAATCTTGACCAGAGAAACACTGCTACCACGTGGTCGGAGAATCATGACACCAAGTTACCACGACGGACCACCTGACCTACTGAGCCACCGTGTGGCCACCTTGACAGATACAGAGGTGTTCACACAAAACTACCTTCAGCAAAGTCAAAGGTGCATTTTCCCAAGTATGTAGAGGATATTCAAACTGAGCTTGTATAATGTGAGCACATGTGCCATGTTGCTGAGTGAGTTCGATCGCTGACTATGAGAGTGTGGATTCGAATCCTGGATGGGACTAAACTAAAAAATAGTCCTAGAATCAGTACTTTACTGAGAAAGTGTAATCCCAAATATAACATTTGTTGTAAGTCCATACTTGAGCATATCAATAAATATAAACATGTGTATAACATATAATGAACAGTGAATCTAAAATCGGTTTCGCGCCAAGGTCTTCGTATGCATGTAGATTTTGGCCAAAGAGGGCTGAGAAGAATTCTCTTTGATAAGAATGGTACGAAAATATGTTAACCAGGGCCTAGATTTTCAAAGCTATTTTAGCGCTAAGGTAGTCGTAAGTGCCATACATTAACATTGACTTACGACTATCTTTGCGCTAAGAGAGATTTGAAAATCTAGGCCCTGCTTGATGGTTCACTCTCACTTAGCAAGAGTCTAAATACGTGACGGCTGCCTGATGTAAGGGAGGTAACTCTCACGCACTTCAATCAACTTGGGTAGGAAATGAAAAGGCACAAGAATTCGGAATTCTGATTCTGTGCAGTCCCATGCTGGAGACTTTACACGGAGGTCTCAACTGAATAAACAGCCTTCAAAGTTTCAAACAAAATTTCAACCTCTTGAAAATAGCTGTGGTCACATTCTACTTAATGTAATGATGGATTCCAGGATGAAGTTGCTTCGAGCTTTCGGCACACCATAACCTCGGAGTCGAGAGGTGAGTGAGTGAGTAAGGTTTTACGCCGCTTTTAACAATATTCCGGCAATATCACGGCGGGGGGACACCAGAAATGGGCTTCACACATTGGGTTAGAATATTTCTTCAGTAACCCATACTTGTAAGATACGACTAACGAAACTGGGTGGTCGGGCTCGCTGTCATTGTATCTCAATTGCGTAGATCGATGTCCATGTTGATCATTGGATTGTCTGGTCCAGTTTCGATTATTTACAGATAGGTAATATTTTAACTCTAGCCCAAATATAATTCAGAAAAGGTTTCTCCACAAGTGACACCTTGTTCTACGCGGAATTAGGGGAGTTTCAACACAAGCGACACGAACATTCTGTCTCGTCTTTAATGATTTCACAACAGCGTTCGACCTCGCGTGGGAGGCTGGTTTATGGTAAAAAGTGCTGAACTGTGGTATATTTGGTTATTTGTTCAACAATGTACCAGAACATTAAACCCACATTCATGCTGCATAATCAAATATCCTCGTAACCAAAGAAAGAGTTCCAACTGAAATTGTACATAAAACTGTCATGGTAGAATGGAGATGCACCTACTTTGTTTTGACTGACTGAGTGACTGAGTATGGTTTTACGCCGCTTTTAGCAATATACCAGCAACATCACGGCGGGGGACACCAGAAATGGGCTTCACACATTGTACCCATGTGGGGATTCGAACCCGGGTCTTCGGCTTGACGAGTCAACGCTTTAACCACTAGACTACCCCACCGCCCCACTTTGTTTTGAAATAAGAGGTAGTATAACGGAATTATAATAGCGTTATCACGACGTTTTAAATTAAATCCCGAGCTTTTATAATTCCATTATACACTCTAATTTCAAACCACAGTATAGATGTATCTCCTAATTACTAAACCAAAAGCGATTTAATAACCCGAGAGCAGTTTCGTGTTTTGTTTTATTCAGTGAAAATATGTTTTACCTAAAAACGTTTATCACCTAATCTTGAAATTTAGAAAAACAATCTATAACGTACCAATTTGTTCTTTTTCTTAAAAATACCTGCATAAACTGAGACTAAAACTTTCCCTCTTTCCAGATTTATCCCCAACATGTAAACAAAAAGATGACAGGAAGAGGTAAATTCCCGATTTTCTTCGGTATAGCGAGCGCGACGGTATAGCGAGACTGATCACCACCGCAACCAGGAGAGGCATGTAAATCACGGACAGCACGTGCAAGCGACCCACTGGTCTGATTCGCAGTCGTCTGCGAAGAAGTCGGAAAGGAAAATAACGACAATATATTCCTCACTGTGACCCTTCTTCTGAAGAATTGGACAAAGATGTAAAAGACGACGACGATTTTGATTTCCGATTAGGAACCATTAACCAATCGTGGGCTGGCTGAGAAAATGGAACGACGCATCCCCAAATACATTATGGCAGGTGAATGTACAGCTCTGAACATTTTGTTCGTGAACTTGAATTTAAAATTATGACAGGGAATTAAGTCTGTTTGGAATGAATGTCCACTTATTGAAACAACTATAGCCACTCTGTTCTGAAAGTGACATTTTTAACTGAAGTAGTAAGTGAGTGAGTGAGTTTAGTTTTACGCCGCACTCGGAAATAGTCCAGCTATATGGCGGCGGTCTGTAAATAATTGAGTCTGGACCAGACAATCCAGTGATCATCAGCATGAGCATCGATGTGCGCAATTGGGAACCGATGACATGTGTCAACCAAGTCAGCGAGCCTGACCACCCGATCCCGTTAGTCGCCTCTTGCGACAAGCATAGTCACCTTTTGTGGCAAGCATGGTACTTCCATATTTAGACACATTTTGTGAATGACGGGCGCTATTGGAACGGCGGGATTTGCTTACCTTTTTCGCAAACACCCGGTGTCATCACAGATTTTCAGTGATCCGTTCATTTAATTTTTACAACTACTTTCCATTTGCTTCCGAGGATAATCAATACTGGGTACTCTTTTTCACTGACGTACTATATTTAACCGTGATGTTAAAATTTTAGCTCATTAGCTCCATATCTGATTCTTCTACTTATTTTCAAAATTCGATTTTTGCTTCTGGTTTCTTTTTAGTCAATGTGGTAAACTAAAGATGTCCAGCAAACCTTTTAGTTACTGCATGATGACTAATGGTAATATAAATAAATAAAACGTATCATTTTTCATCAAAGGAGAAATTGATCATATGTTTCCTGGGTAGACTGGTGGTTAAAGCATTTGCCCATCACGCTGAAGATCCGGGTTCGATTCCCCACATGGGTACAACTGCCCATTTCAGGTCGACATATTGCAGGAATATTGCTAAAAGCCGCGTAAAACTATTTATTTTTATATTATCAATCGTGGCTGGAAACTACTCCACTAATACCATTAAGAATAACATGCAGACTGTGTAACTATATACATTTGTACTTCTTTTAAAACGTCCACTATCAACAATTGCGGGGATATCGATGACTCTGTCCTTATTTAAAGTGGATAAGAATGCATTTCTTGTTTGTTGTTAAGCGCTGCCTTAGCAATATTCCTGCTGTAAATAATCGAGTCTGGACCAGACAATCCAGTGATCAACAGCATGAACATCGGTCTACGCAATTGGGAACCGATGACATGTGTCAATCAAGTCAGCGAGCCTGACCACCCGATCCCGTTAGTCGCCGCTTACAACAAGCATGGGTTACTGAAGATCAGTTCTAACCTTAATCTTCACGGAAACAAATGAGAAACGTTTAGTACTTCAGTAAACTATTTGGACACAGGACACGACAGGGAATAGTGAAGAGGACTAATTAACTACGTGCCGCCTCCGTCACAAGACGCCAACCGTAGGGTAAGTTTTGAAAGCTTTACAGAACTGAAAAATTGTCGAAAAAGTTGACTTTGGCAGCTTGCTTTCTTTTGATCTGATTTGAATATATATATTGTGTGTTTGGATGGGTAGGAGAAGTATAACGTCTTTGTAAACACAATGTTGCTTTTTTCAGGATGTGAGATCATACACGCGGTCCCCAGAAGGGCAGTGTATCGGATACATTATAAGTATCACGTGCAGAGGCTGAAAGATGATCCACCGGAAGTCTTCCTCGAGAAACAAGATTCGTCAACAAACTCAAATTGTCTGTAAGAGCATCCCATAAACGTTCGATGGGGTTTAGATCTGGATACCTTTAGATCTGGAGACATTTAGAGCCATGGCACTGCTTGGATGTTGTGGTTCTTCTAAAAATCCGTTGTCAGCATTTTTATGATTAAAAAATGACGTTTGATTGCAGTGAGCGAAATAGCCTCTTGCCCGTGGCTAGTAAAAATCCAGTCGGGCCAGCAAATCTCCACAGTCACTGGCCCGACTGGCTAGTGAATTTTCATGGCTTCATTTTGTAAATTCATAACTCTCTCCGACTTGTTAAGTTATAACACACTTTTAAATTATGCAAGATTATGGCCTGATAAAAATGATCATGAATTATTATGTGGGCTAGTAACTTTCAGGCATAGCTAGCCCGACTGGCTTGCAAAAGTTGGAAACTATTTCGCTCACTATATGCTTGTAATGGGAAGAATGCGTGGCTGAAGAATTTCATCTGTGTAACTTTGTGTGCTGTCAAATTGCCCTGGACGTGTGTACCAGTGGGAGAAACAGCCCACATTATTACACTACCGCCACCAAACCTATCCACATCCCTTCTGTAGTTTCGAGTATAACGTTCCCCGCGACGTCTGTAAACGCGACGTTTGAAACTGTACGGAGAAGCAAAATGAAAACGTGTCACGTTACTAAAACCAAACACGTCTCCATCACTGTTGCCATACTCTGTGTCCTCGACTCTACCGACGATGCTGATCACTCAGAATGACGCCTCGGACTGGACGTCTCGGGCGAATACCCGCGGCGTGAAGACATTTCCTCACTGTCTGGCGTGAAATTGTCACAAAAGTGACGAACCTGTTTTGTGCTGTGTCACGTTTCATGCTCTTTTATCAATGTTATTTGGGTGTATTTTGGTACGAGTAGATGTCATCCGTAAAATTTAAACATACAGTCAAATCCCGATGAGTCGAATCGCTGGGGACCAAGTAAAAGATTCGGCTTATCGATGTATTCGAGACATAGGTATGTCTATGAGGGTAGAAAAAAAAGATGATTCAATATTGAACAATTCCTTTATTCAGCACATCATATCTAAATATAGCACAACAATACATTATGTGACATAGACAATGGATAATAATGGATAATGGAAACAAACATTATACAAATGAGAACATTTTATGAGACGAATTCGTGTAACCGGAAATCAAATGATGACAAAAATAGCAGGGAATGGTCGGGACCGACAGGTACTTCGTGTTATGCATAATATTCGAGACACCGGCATTTGACTCATCGGGATTTGACTGTATCTCCCAAACAAACCATTTTTTTAGAAAGCATGCATTTGGCTCTCAACATTTGCAATTCTCGGCGTCATCAATGAAGGGTCAGGCTATTGGTAACACTATATCTGATGCAACTGTGGCCACGCATAACCGATTTGGCGGGTTTCGGTCGTGGTTCGGGCAGGGATAACTCCTACTGGACGTGCACGTGGTCGACGGTAATCTGAATTGCTCCTGCTTCTGATTACATACTCAAGAGTTCATCAATATATACTGAACCACAAAAGAAATGTCGCACCGATAGCTGTTTCTGAAAGCACACACTTTAATTCACTCTAGGTAACAATCAAAACGGAGGACTGAGTTCAAACTTGACAGTTATGGTTAACACATTTTCGGGAAGCACATTTAGAGTTCACACAAACAAAATCACCAAAAATGTTACCATTAAGATACCCCAAAGTCAGTATTGTGTGTGGCCTCAATGGGCATCGATGAAAGCGTTGCATCTTCTGTGCATGGAATGAATTAGCCGGTTGATGAAGGCAATAGGCACTTGGGTCCATACTCTGTGAAACGTCTTGATTGAGTCCAGCCGCAGTTGTCAGCCTTGGTTGGAGGCCATTCAGTCTTCTTTGAATCTCGTCCCAAGGTGTTCTATTGGACTTAAATCTGGACTGAGTGTAGGCTATTGTAGGGTTTGGATACCATGTCGTCTTAGGAAGTCCAATCTTGCTCTGGCAGTGTGGGCACGACCGTTGTCTTGCTGGAAGATGTGATTTCTGTAACGTCCAAAATGTGGTACAACGTGGGGTCTTATGACTTGTCAATATAGCGAGCAGCTGTCGCGTCATTTCAATCCGGAACACCACGATGTCAACTAACTGGTTCAGACCGATTGCCCCCCACACTATGATGCTTGGACCACCCCACGGATCTCTTTCAAGAATACACTCATTGGAAAACAGTTCACTACGCCTTCACCATACTCTCACTCTACCATCGACTGTCGAAACACAATATCAGCTTTCATGAGATAAAAGCACAGGTCTCCATTGTCGACAACCCCAATGTCGATGCTGGCGGTGATGATCGGTGAGGACAGGAATACGATATGGTCTGTGACAGCAGAGGTTTTTTCCGCGCAAACATCGACGTTCTGTATCGGCACTGATAGGTCTGTTGTTCTCTGTTGTTTCCACTGATAGGTCTGTCGCTCTGGGGAAGCGATCCTGCAGATGGTGGCGCACAATCTGTCGGTCTTGACGTTGCGATGTTACTGAATGTCGCCCGCTGCGTGGACGGTCTTGGATGAAAAAAAACCCCTGATTTGTATGGATAGTCAACTTCTTTATTGCAATGAGTGCGACGTTTCGGTGTAGGTACTAACACCGTTATCAGGCAAGTGATGTACTTCTTCTCCATGTTGTTGAGTCTTAATTGCCACGTCTCCATGTAGACGGCGAATAATTTCTTTGAGAGGCATTTTAGAAAAAAAAAGAGACGGTTTTGGATGCTGTTAGTGACCTGATACCACTCCTGCAGTCGGTAGATTGTCCTTACATGAACATTAAAATGATTGGCTACCCTGCGTGCAGTCTGGACAACTTGCATTCGTCCCAACACTTAGTTCCTGTGATCTCTCGTAAGTCGTGGCATGGTGATTGTGTCAAAACAAATATGATTTCAGGCGTGTTTGAGACTCGCTTTCATTGGTAGGGTTGTCACGACGTGCACGTGCATTTTCATTTTTACGAATGTCATGACACTTTTACCATGTCTGCCTTTTTTGATGCGTTTGGTCGATATGCTTTTTCATCAGAAAACACACTGATGTTGGTAATAACTGTCAATTTGGATTGAAAAACATGTTAACAAAACAGTACAATGATAATAAAACCACCACCTTGCAAGAACAAAATTTTGCATTTGGTTTTGAAAAGCGACTTTTCTTTTGTGGTTCAGTATATATTTAGTACAGTCCTACACCATTCTGGATGACGGGACTATGCAAAACAAAAAAACTTGTCTTGAAGATTTAAACCATTGACTGTGTTCTGTATGGAAGAACGTGTGACTGTTCCATGTAACTGTCTGTGAAACAATACTGTAATCTATAATAAATGTATTCAGCCTAAAAGGTTTTATTTCCATTAGTAGTAACCTGTGCTGACTATCCTTTGATTGTTCTACGTTTGATTTGTGATATGCTGCAGTTGTGACACATGATTACACAATGACATTTAGAAAGTGGTCAAAAGAAGCACCTAATCGCCAGAACAGTCAGTCGCCTTTTGTGGAAGTGGCGGTGGCTGAGCGGGTTAGGTGGCTGACTTTGTGTGCTGGCGATTAGGTGCCTGACTCTGAGGGTCTGGGATCGAATCCCGGATGGGTCTCAACCCCCAAAGTACTAGAATCTGTACTTTACTAAGAATATGTAATCCCAAATATAACATACGTTACTAGTGACACATGTTCGACCGGGTCTGCGTCTGTAAAACCTGGCAGTGAAGCCGAGTCGCCTGTCTGCAGTCGGCCGATGGTGTTGCTTTACAACTGTGATAAAATACAATTTCATAGCCCAATAATTCACGTTCATTTAATGTTGGTGTTAGGTCGCCACGCTTCAACGTTGTTGCATTTTCACCACTTTTTCGGTATTTTATGGGGCAGTGGGGTAGCCCAGTGGTTAAAGCTTTCGGTCGGCACGCCGAACACGGTCGGGTAGTCTGTCTCACAGTCCCTGAACCACATTATTTTCCCCACTGCCAAGTAAAGCTCTCTCTGCAGTGCTAAAGCCCTAAATAAAGTAATTCTAGATTTCCTCAGGTTCAGGCTGAATCTCTGGTCTCCCTGGGTCTCCTTTTCAATATAAATGGGCTTGTTTGTTACTATCAAAATTATATATATTCAGAGACTAAGCATTAGTCTAATGGTCGGGGTAAATTTGGAAATTTACAGTGAAACGTGCCAGTGTGTTGCTGTACATTTCAGGGATAAACACCAGACTGAAAGTTATTCTGCTCTTGTGTTAAAGTGTAGATATATTGTGTCTATCGTCAGGAACTGTTTCATAGTTGGCAAGCTACAAGTGGATTACAATCACGACATCGACAGACAAATAACGTTGATGTCAGGCGCTGTGGTTCACCATGCGCATCAACTGTCGGACAGGTCTGTTTCATGAGAACGCCTGTTGCGAAACCGTAGTCAAAGTGCCTCTCAAATGTGAGATAAGGTTCACAGAGTTTAAGTGTTACAGTGGGCACACGATTCGTGATCGGCTACACAGATGAAACCTTCATGCCCTACGTCCACGTCCACATTACTGCAACACGTCGTTGGTGTCAGGAGCGACAGGTGTCCATGACACGTTTCCGATGTACCGTAGTCTCAATATCAGACGGGCGGTGGGGTAGCCTAATGGTTAAAGCTTTAGCTCGTCACGCTGAAGACCCGGGTTCGTTTCCCCACATGGTACAATGTGTGAAACCCATTTCTGGTGTCCCCCGCCGTGATATTGCTGCAATATTGCTAAAAGCGGCGTGAAACCAAACTCGCTCGCTCAATCTCAGACGTATTCTGTATTACATCATACTTTGGCCTCTGTTTTTCAGGTGATTTGTCAGAGGATTGTTACCTAGAATTCGACTGTTACCCAGGGACCAGCTACTTCTAAGTGGGACATTGGGGTAATCTAGTAGTTAAAGCGTCCGCTCGTCACGTCGAAGACCCGGGTTCGATGCCCCACATCAGTACAATGTGTGAAGCTCATTTCTGGTGTCCCCAACCGTGATATTGCTGGGATATTGCTAAAAGCGACGTAAAACGCAACTCACTCACTCACTTACTCTAAGAGTGAGCAAAACCCATTGTGCGAGGACGCAAAGTGACAAATCCCTCCTGGTATAAAGCACCCCTAAATATGTTGATACAGAAGACTTTTGAGATAAGCATGCATGCTGTGGCTATCATTGGTGCTTGTCCAGTACTGATCACACTCAAGGCTTTCAT